GCTAAAGGTTCTCCCCCAAGGCTAATACTAAATAAGAGAGAGCTGCCAAGCTTGCTATATGATAACAATACTGACTTAAAAGTATCATTAGGAGACTAAGGATCGTTTTGTTGATCTTTTAATATTCTGTGTTCTATATCAAGTTCTTAACTTTCAGAGTCTTTGTGCTGTTGCTTTTTAAGAATGCCTTTTATATCCTTTCAGCTCTGAATCAGCAGGTCTAATCATCAGCTTCCTGCAGCATTCATCCAGGGAGTTTACTGAGTGAGGAATTCTAGGAGACCAGCTTCCCTTGTGGCTTCCTACAGCTTTCTTAAAGCTTTCTTAAGCAGACATTAGATTCTTCCAGATAGCTGCTTTGGTTCAAATCCTCCGGCCTTCTGAATGGGCCTGTAAGGTGCATAACCTACAGAAATGCCATGTTTCAGTTTTATGGGATGGGCACAGAGGTGGCATGAAGGGTTTTAGTTCTCAAACTCCATACACTGGGAATCTGAGCCCTTCCAGGGCTCTCAGAGCAGGGCTTCAGAACACCTTTGTGCGGAGGGGCTATGGGAGCTAAGGGGAAGAATCCAGCATCCTGAGTAACAGCAGCTTGGAGCTAAGGATATTAGGTACAATTTTCAAAAGAGCCCAAGTCCTATTTTCAAAAGTGACTTAGTCACATAGGAGCCTAAGTCCTATTGACTTTCAATGAGTCTTAAAGCTCGTCTATACAAACACTTAGGCCTGGTCTACACTGGGGGGGATCGATCTAAGATACGCAACTTCAGCTACGTGAGTAACGTAGCTGAAGTCAACGTACTTAGATCTACTCACCGCGGTGTTTTCACTGCGGTGAGTCGACTGCTGCCACTCCCCCGTCGACTCTGCCTGCACCTCTCGCAGAAGTGGAGTACAGGAGTCAACGGGAGAGTGCTCGGGGGTCGATTTATCACATCTAGACTAGACACAAGAAATTGACCTCCGCTGGATCGATCACTGCCCGCCGATCCAGTGGGTAGTATAAACATACCGTTGGTGTGCAGCAAGTAGGGATGTAAATCTACCCCACACTAGCTGGCTGCACACTAACAGCATGGACCTTGCTGCATGCAGTTAAAGTTCCCTGGTGTTTTTTGATCTACCCCACTTTGAAGTGGGAAGAGATTAATGCCCACTATGGGATTTTTAATGCACAGTGGCAGGGTCCACATGGATGCTTACTGCGTGGCAGCTAGAGTGGGATAGATTTATACCCCAGCCTGCTGCAAACTAAGTTTTTGTATGGACAAGCCCTCATGCTCCTAAGGAGTGCTGGGCAGCAAACACTTCTCTTGTGCCCCAAGAATTGTTGAGATTTAAAAAAAAAAATTCTCATTTCAAATGAGTACAAAAAGTCAAAATCTTAAACTTTTTTGCAAATCAATAATTCCCAAAACATTTAAGCTCCTGTCAATTGAAATGTTTAATTTCAATAATTTCCAAGCTTTTGTTTCAATTTCAATTTTTAAATTTTATTTTACCTTTTTAATATAATCTAGACAATTTCAAAACAAAGTCATTTCAGACAGAAAAAAACAAATATTTTCATTTTGAAAATGCCGTAATGAGTTATTTCAACAGTTTCAAAATCTTTATTTCAATATTTTTTTTCAATTTGGGGGAGTCCTCAGAACCAGTTCTTTCCTGGAAATGGTTTTGGTTTCAATGAACTAGCATTTTCTGATGGAAAAACATTGGAAAATTCCCAGCCAGGTCTACTTCTATGTCACTTAGATATTTTGGAAAATGTTACCCAACTCTCATTTCTCAACCCTGTTTGCATTTACCTGTGTGCACAGCTGATTTTCTTGGCATCAGTGTAAAGAATTGGCCCATAGTGCTAAGTTAGTCATGTTGTCCATGAAATGTATGTAATCCATGTGCATGTGAACATGGGGGTGGAAAACAGCTATATTTTCTAAAATGATGGGAGTCACGCAATGGACTTTGAATTTAAATGAGCAGCAAACAAACAGGTATTCCTGTAGACCTGCTTCTGTATACTGTGCACTTTTTATGTTTCTCATATTCATGTTCATGCACTAATTAGTCTGTAAAAGCCAAACAAGTAGGAATACTAACAAGTATTGCTTTCGTTGGGCCTGATTCTCCAAAGGGATCCAGATGCACAGCATCCCACTTGAAATCTGTGCATATGGCTCCTTTTGGAGAATTGGAGTCCTAGTAATTCATTATTTGTCAGAGAGCAAATGTTAGTTACATGGGGAGGGATTTCAAAAAATGTGTAAATGAATTAGAAGCAAAAGTCTTATTGCCTTTTGGCCAACAATGGGTATGTCTACACTGCAAAGAGAAACCTGCGGTGCCAAGTCTCAGGCCCTGGGTCAACTGACTCGCGTTGGTGGGGCTCGGACTGCAGGGCTAAGTGTAGATGTTCTCACTCATGCTGGAGCCTTGGCTCTGAAGCCCAGCAAGGGGGAGGGTCTCGGAGCCTGGACTCCAGCCTGAGTGGGAATATTTACGCTGCTACTTTTAGCCCTGCAGCCCAAGCCAGAGTGAATTGACCTAGGCTCTGAGACTTGGTGCCCAAGTTTTTCCTGGCACGGTTGACATACCCTTAGGCACTTTTGAAAATCCCTACTTAAGTGTAGTTAGTGACACAAATCTTCTTTTTTAATCTTTTTATTCACTTGCTGTACTTTTAAAGTTAAACCATATTTATATTTCTCAAACAAGGTATGTATTGAAAATAATGCAGATTTTAGAGATCTGTCTTAAGGGTGTATCCTGCTGCCCACCACCATAGTAGCTAAGTGCCTTCTGTCACAATTTCAGGCCAACTGCACCTGTATTCCCTCTCATGGTCCTTCAAAGGCACCCACTGTAGTCTCTGGCTCCCAGCTGTCACCTCTCTTGGGCAGAAGCGGGATTTTAAAGCCGCACAGCTCCCTGGATTTACACCGTGATGGCCCCAGCAAACCAGGCAACCTAAATGCTCATCTGCACTTTGCTTTCTCCCCAGAGGCTGTGACCACTGTATTGCCCACAGTTATAAGTTAATGCAAGCACAGTTATTCTTAGATGAAAGCATATTTAAAACCTACATACATGCTAATAAACTTACCAGAGGTCACCCTAACTCCAGTCTCTGGCTCTGAGAGGTGTCTGGTCTTGAAAACCTACAACTGGGTTTTGTCCTGGCTACAAGTTCATGACTGTCTCAAAGTCAGAACCAGAACCCAGGCTGGACAGTTTGGCTGTCACCTTATACAGCTTGAGCCTTTGATCTCCAGTGTAAATCCACAGACAATGATCCAGTCATCCTCATGTAGCTGGAAAACGCTGGGGTTTTGCATAACCAGATGCGGGGACTTTGCATTCACCTGCCCCTACATATTCCCCAGGAAATCCACTTCACATGTATTTTCCCAAAAGTCCATTCTTGTCTGGAACGTTTTCAATATAGCCCTTTGAACTCCCAGCACTCACTTCACATCTCTCCCCTAGAGAGGTTACATGCAATCCTAGCCCACAATATTACATAAACTTTACATTTCATACAACGGAGCCCAAAGGTACTTAATCTTAATTCAATAAAGTCTCCCAAGGATATGCAGGAAATTGCCATATTTATCACACCTTCCAAGTAAAATCAATCACGATAGCCAAGTCCTAATGGACTTGATGGAGTCTCTGGCACTTCTTCCTTTTGAGGTCAAAACTCTGCTTGGGATACAGCAGTGGTGGTTTTTTTTTTTTTTTATTTTTTTTTTAATTTTATTTTTTTTTTTTTTGGGTGGGGGGGGGGGGGGGGTTAACTCCTAAAACCGCTCATTTTAGGCAGTTTTTCTTCTAGGGACTTTCTTAACCTTTTGAATTTACTTAAAAATTGCATACTTGAGAGTGGGAATGCGTCTCTCTTTTTAAAATGTTTTGTCTATGCACCAGTATTTTCTCTTTGTGTTTAGTTACTCCTCTTTTCTCTGTTCTTCCTTGCTTTTCCTTTGGAAAAATATATTTTATGAATCACCAAGATATTTTTATCTATATTCTAACACATTCCTTTTATTGACCTTTATGGCACCTGCTATTGCTATGAATACAATACATAACCTGTGAATATCCAGCATGACGGTATATAGTGCAAATTCCATAATCAGGAATACTGAACTTGCATAAAATACACATAAAAGGATTAAAAAAATCCAGACAGATCTCATTCAGAAAAACCTGTATTTTTATACAAAATTTAATGAGTCACTTTCTCCGTGGTTGCAAAGCAAAATGCAACTTCAGTTTTGTTGCATTGTAAGGCAGGGCAGAATTTGGCCCTCAATATTTAAAGTTACATTTTATTTAAATAAAACTCCCCCAAATTATTTTTTTATTAGTAAGGAGGCTTCTGAATATAAGGCTGGGAGTAAAAACAGGTTGTTTTATTTGTATTACAGTAGCACCTATGGGCCACACAACTCCTACTCCAGCCTAGCAGAATTTGACACACACATTTCACACTTCTGGGCTGACACTTTGTGATTCATGGTTTCCAGCGGAAATGCTGCTCCTTTAAATATAGTGGGTTTAAGATATCACTGTACTATAATTTAGCTCTTAATATTTTAGTTCAGGTGATTTTTTTGTGCCTATTGTGCGTACTGTTCTGGCTTCTTGTGATTTTTAGTGCTTCATCATGACACTCAGCATCGACCGATGATGGAATAAGTGACAAGCTTTTAACAGTGATATGACATAAGAGTGGGAGCACATGACACTGTGAAGTTATTCAGATCTGGCTGACACTGACATAAAATATAATAAATTAGAGCCCTTAAAGTGCTAACTCAATTTCAATGTTTCATTCCTTATGGGTTTTGTCTATTGTAGAACATCTACCTCCTAGGTTGTAATTTGACTGTAAAAAAAAAAAAAAAAGCATTTTCTTTTACTTGTATGGTATCTATCTAGAAAGCAGTTTTAATTCTTCCATTTCTGGTTTTGTTTTTGTTTTCCAAAAGAATCGGATTTGCAGATCTGCCAGCACAGAGCACCAACCTGTTGCACTAAAAAGATGGAAGAAAGTTACCAGACAGCTGTTCGGAGAGAGAGGACTCAGAACATCCAGGCCTTGAACTTTGAACTGAAATATATGATAGTTGGTCATATCACAGCTTTTCAAGGTAGGAAACACATGAAACTTCATGACCCCACAAAATAAGCATGCTAATGTTGTAGACGTTATTTAATTTCTACTATATAATTGCAGGCAAGCTTCTCTCACTTGTGTTTTTATCATTTCTGCTAGATGTCGAGTCATTGTTTGTGCCTCAGCTTTCTATGGCCTTGATTCAGGAAAACATCCCTATTCAGGAGAGCACTTGGGCATGTGTGTTACTTTATGTGCATGTTTAAATTTTCTACTAACTAGACATGGATTTAAGCAAATACCTAAGGCTTGGTCTACACTTACCCCCCAAGTCGAAGTAAGGTACGCAATTTCAGCTACGTGGATAACGTAGCTGAATTCGACATACCTTACTTCGAACTTACCGCGGTTCAGACGCGGTCCACACGCGGCAGGCAGGCTCCCCATCGACTCCGCGGTACTCTTCTCGTTGAGCTGGAGTACCGCAGTCGACGGCGAGCACTTCCTGGTTCGATTTATCGCGTCCAGACCAGACGCGATAAATCGAACCCGGAACTTCAATCCCCAGCCGTCGAACTACCCGGTAAGTATAGACCAGCCCTAAGTGTTTAACTGAACTTGGGCCTACCTTCTAGGCTTGAAAAAGACAGACTGGGATTTTCAAAGGCACAAATGGCAGATGGACACTAAGACCTGAAAAGGAGCTCTATAGCTCAGAAGCTTGTCTCTCTCAAGACATTGATCCAGTAAAAGGTGTTACCTCACCCACGTTATCGCTCTAATATCCTGGGACCAACACAGCTACAACACTGCAAACATTTTTACCTACATTCTCCCACTCAATGTCAAGGAATGTAGCGAGACAGAAAGTAGAATAAAATGTTTTTCTTCCTGATCACTGATACAGTTCAGAGAGAGAATTATCATCTGACTAATGCCTTAAAATGTTTCACAAACTACTGAGTCACTTGAAGTCTGATTCCTTTTTGAAGAGTCATGGCACGCAGTTAAATGTGAGTGCATGAAGGAATAGACATTTGAAAGATTATCCTCCGAGCTCTGAAGGGAGTGACAGTTATCTTAATAACAAGTAGATTTGTCTTTCATCTGGAGATTGCTATATTCGGGCTGGTGTCTTCTGGTCACAGTATTACTAAGGAAAATCAAATGCTTGTATAGGATTTATATTGCAAAGTGCTGAACACTCTGTCGGCAGTCCAGCAAAGCACTTACGCATATGCTTAACTTTAAACGTGTAAGTGGTCCCATTGATTTCTATGGGACTATTTGTGCTGAAAAATAAGTCTGTACTTAAGTGCTTTCTTGTATCTGGGCCCAAGTGCTCAGCACCTTGCAGGATTAAGCCTTTAAAAGAACTTAAAATATGCTAAACTATACCAGGATTTATTTGATTAATAGAATGAGCATCATCCTGTATACTCAGTGTTATCAGCAGATTTGTAGAGCTCTTGTCTAGACGCTGCCTTTGGGGGGGGGGGAAAGATGATCTAAAATAAACAGAAATTAGTACATGGCTTAAAGCAGTGTGTTTCAACCAGTGGTCCATGAACTCTGGGGTCAACAGACTATCTAAGATTTTCTAAGGGGTCCGCACGCCATTCAAAAATTTTTAGGGGTCCTCAAATGAAAAAAGGTTGAAAACCACTGGCTTAAAGTATGACCATAACAAATGCTGAAAGCTTAAAAAGACAGTCAAATTACAAACTAAAAGTTTGCTTTTACTTTTGGATGTTACAAGCTGGAGGGAGGTGAGAGCAGGAGGGAGACAGCATGAGAGACATGGCATTTTGCTTTATTTCACAGTTAATCTTCAAAAATGCTTCAATATCCCACATGGCTTTAAAATCCGGTAGCAAGGCCCTTTTGAGCAGCCCTGTGGTAAAGCGGGGAAATATGTCAGCATTGTTAAATACTGGTGAGTGATTCAAGTGATCTTTCAGTATCGTTTTAGAATAAAGATACGGTCAGAATAGATTAACCTATCAACCCCTTAGGTCAAGCCAGCAGTTTTATTCCTTGATGCTGATGAAGCCTTTTGAGGAAAGGAAAAGTGTCTTTGGACATTTCAAGTAGCTTAAATTTCCAATCGTTTCTTAGAAATGGGCAAATAGGTTGTTTATTGCAAGTTATGGACTGTCTTCTATCTAGGTTAGGTGAGAACTTTTGATAATGTAACTTTGCTTTGTTGCACCGAGAGCTTCATTTGTTCTTTAGGTTTTCCTTTGCACAAAACCAAAGTTCCTTTCTTCATGTGACATTGTGTTGCTAAGAGTGGTATGATACGGGACGCTTACCAAGAGAGACCTTTGAATTGAATTAGTTCAGTCCTTTTTTCCATTTTGTTTTGCTGCTGTTTTGCATTATTATAGAAAGTCAGGGCTGCAAACAGATGAATCAACTTAATCTCAACAAACCTTGTTTTAAAGGGCCTCAGGTCTTCCTCAGGCTTGGTGCTGTAGAAGCAATAGAGCATCAGTCAAGATAGAGTGGCCACTTCTCCGGTTGCTTATTTTTGAGGGTGTCTGCTGTTTATGAAAGTTTCTTTGCCTTCTTGAATGTTTTACAAGATCTCCCCCTTTTAGAGGGTAGCTCGCTAGTAGGCCTTGTTGCCTACTCTTGGGGAAAAATAAGCCTAGATGCTTTTATACACTCCCACAAGTCAAAACTATTGTATTATGCACACTTTGAGTGTGATTCTTAAAACTATAATACAGCTTTTAGGATGGGATTTTCAAAAGGGCTCAGTGTTGGTCGAACTCTGCTCCTGTTGGAGTCAGTGGGAGTTGGACTTTAATGCGAGACTAGTTTGGCCAGTGCTGAGCACATATGAGAGTTAGACACAAAAGCGATGCCCTGGGTTAAAATGATAAATGCATGTTTAAAAACCCTCCCAGTTGGGCAATGTTGTTTCTCATTTTGCTGCGTGAAGGCTAAATCCCATTTACTTAGATGGCCGTAATTGGGTTATAAGGGTACGTCTTCACTACCCGCCGGATTGGCAGGTAGTAATCGATCTATCGAGGATCGATTTATCGCATCTCATCTAGACCCAATAAATTGATCCCCGAATGCGCTCCCCGTCGACTCCGGAACTCCACCAGAGCAAGAGGTGGAAGCAGAGTCGACAGGGGAGCCGCAGCCGTCGATCCGACGCCGTGAGGACCCGAGGTAAATCAATCTAAGATACGTCGACTTCAGCTATGCTATTCTCGTAGCTGAAGTTGCGTATCTTAGGCTAGGTCTACACTAAGGGGGGGTCGATTTAAGATATGCAAATTCAGCTACGCGAATAGCGTAGCTAAATTCGGCGTATCCTATTCGACTTACCCTGCTGTGAGGACGGCGGCAAATCGACCGCCGCGGTTCCCCCGTCGACGGTGCTTACTCCTCCTGACGAGGTGGGAGTAAGCGCGTCAATTCGGGGATCGATTTATCCGTCTAGATGAGATGCGATAAATCGATCCCCGAGAGATCCATTTCTACCCGGCGATCCGGGTGGGTAGTGTAGACTAGCCCTTAGATCGATTTCCCCCCCCCAAGTGTAGACCAGCCCTAAGAGTATTAATGGGAAGGCTTGGATATTTGATTAGAGAGGTGATTTTGATGCAAGCAGGGCAATATGAAGAGGGTTCAACTGAATACTCTCTCTGACATGCATGTGAACCCCAAAAGGTTGTCTATATTTTGGACTGAGGAGACTTCATTTTATTTTTATTAAAAAAAAAACACAGGAATTTAAATTATTCTGCAGTCAAAGCTGAACTAGAACTATTTTTAACAGCTGCCAGAGTCACGCAAAATGATTAGTGTATAAAACTCAATTAAATGTATTACATCTGTGGACAGACTTGTTATTTTTGGATTAGTGCCCATTTCAGACATATGGACAGCTTTAGCACTACTGCTGAATCCTTTTTTTCTTTAAATTTTGCAATATGAGCAAACCTGTGCTTGTGCAAACACTTAATAAATCAAACTTTCACATTCTGCAAATGTCTTAGCTTGTGTTCCTGCCTGTTATGTTGTTGCTGTAATACCTGAGTGGAATAGGAAAAGGGACCACTTGGTCTTGGCTACAGGTCTGGCAGACACCTTTCCTGGTAATGTTGGGGATGGATGGATGCTGGTAGGCTGATGTCAGCTGGCCAATTGGATCATGAAAGGCACCACCAGTAATTGGATTCTACGGTGATGAAAGAGACAGACACCCTGTCATCTGAATCAGGCCCTGAGTATCTGAGATGATGCAAAATCAAATAGTCTTTGTGTATATGGCACACTGTAAAGGTTTCGTAGGCAAATTCCTGGATTTATTATTATTTAACATGTTATATCATGGAAAAGTCTAAAAGCCACAACCGCTGTGCAGACATATTGTTAATGATGGTCCCAGCCACAGTCCCTGGCTTACAGTCTAAAAGAGAAGATTATGAAGGTGGATGGGACAAGCAAGTGGGCCAGGGTGGAGAAAAGAGTGCAACAAATGAATAGAATAGAATGTTTACAGGTCTTAGTCGGCCAGGTATAGTGATCACAGCATGCCAACTTCCTAGCCACTATCTGGTTGTACTTTACCATATGCAGTATGGGAAAGTTCAATCCGTCCCATCCCTCAACCCCACTGTCCAGCAGATCCTCCTTCCCCAGCCTGGGATAACCAACTAATCCTTTTCTTACTTTTAAACTGAACAGAATCTCAAACGCAACCTTATCACTAACAAAACCTTTCATTCTTTAATTCATTTTGATAACAGAATATCCTTCCTTGAGCTAAGCATTCCTTTCTTCAACTTTTCTGCTTGCAACTCAACAGCTGAATTGCTGTAGGTTAGAGTACAACAGGTTTTGCTTGTGGTGATACTACACATTATTTGACACCTTCCCGGCCACAGCTACCCCCCATCACTCCCTGCACTCCTCATGGGGAGAGTTCCAAACAAGATGACTTGGATTCATTGTTAATGGATTAAAAGCAGTGCGAGTGTGGAGACTGAAAGTTGCTGTCAGAAGAGG